TGGGCAAGTGCATCTCCAGAGGCTGGCAGTGTGCATTTCTTGGGGGCTACGGGCTCTGTAGCAGGGTGGCACACTGAGGAGGAGGAACAGGAATTGAGGCTGTGCTGCCTCCAGCCCTGTGACTGATTCTCACGGACCTGGTACTACTGTTGATGCTCTAGCTGCTCAGAGCAGGTCCCTCTGTCGCCCTGTCAGCCGGCTCCATCCTCCACACTTACCCAGCTCCCCCTGGCAGATGTCGGTCCTGGTGGCCCCCCCATGGATGAATTCCGGGTGCTCCACGATCTCCTGGGGGAAGGGTGAGAGCACTGCTGGAGTGTGGCGGGTGTAGGTGCTCCCCTGTGTCAGGGAGGAGGAACCCCATATTTGATTACTTCAGAAGGCGGGGCATAGTCGAAGGGAGGGGATTGTGGGGCAAGACCGTGGGGACCATTTCTGGTCCCTGGCTCCTTCCCCTGGACCTGTTCCTCTCTGCTTCCTGGTTGCCATGAGCGGCTTTCCTCTACCACACCCTTACACCATATTGCTTCTGCCTTGACTCAGGGCAATGGAGCCAGCTGATTGAAAACTCTGAAACAATGAGCCAAAATAAATCTTTCCTCCTCTCAGTGGCTTTTCTTGGTATTTTGTTACTGTGCTGGAAAGCTGACAACACATTCCTTGCACATAGTAGCAGTGCAGGGCACATCTGGTCTCAAAGTGAATCCATTTTCTAAATGTTTCTAAAACATTTACATAAACCCAGCAGGAGAGCTTCTGGAAGAGCTGGGCTACTGGATGTGCCAGAAGTCCAGGCCTGGCAGAAGCATGACATCCCGATGCCAGGCCCTTTCCATGAGGCCTTGCACATCCCTGCATTCCCACCCTCAGCTCCAGGAGACTCCCTTGGAGACTTTTCATTAAGTGACCCTAATCTCCAGTGCACAGGATAAGCAGCAAAGGTAGCTCCTCCGTGTCCCTGACTGCAGATGTGACCCTCCTGAATCTGCGCTGGGCATGCTGCTGTCCCCTCCTTGTCTGATCCTTTCCAGATTGAGCTGGGAACTGCACCCACTCACACCTCGCCTCCCCAGGTTCTGTGAAGTAACTTGGTTCTGTGTTCCTGCTCCGCCGAGCTCAGCTGTGTTTGACAAGAAGGTGGTGCTGGGGGCCACCTGCCCATGCCCCACTGGGTGGCTGGGTACTTCCTGCTGAGATATACTGGGTACCTGCCCAGCAGAAACTCGGGCACATTCCAGCCATGGGCCTTCTGGAGAAGACTTCCATTCAGCCACCGCACCCCCCATACAAGGTGATGCTCCTCCGCGCTGCAAAGGGACATCCAAGGCCCCCCCAGTACCTTGCCTCTTGCTTTCCAGATGCCTCCAAGACAGAATACAATGCCCCCTGGCCAGGAGACAGACAAGCTGCATTTCCAGGACCAAGGAGCAGACAGACCAAGGGTACAAGGGCAGAAGTGGTTCTGAAAATGAGCCCGCAGGATGGGCAGAGCACAGAGGACTGGCACCAAGGGACTGAGGCAGGGATAGGGAGAGGCAGAGGGTTGGGGTGTGCACAGGGCACTTGGAGAGACTGTGTTTTATGGCTTGACCTATGGTCAGGACCTCCTTGGAAGACATAAAACACAGATGGAGTCTCCGAGGCTGAGGCCTGGACTCCGGAGACCTGGAGGGCTTGGTGGGTCTCCATGGCCCTGTTGCAGGCCTGAAGGGTTCACCATACCTGGCAGTGGTGATGGCAGTGGAGGTGGGAGGTGGGTCCCCAGGGCAGGGAGGGGAAGTGTTAATCACACACGTTGCCAAAGTGACGATGGCGACCCTCTGGCTGCTGCCAGACTCCTGACTCAGTGCTCAGCTCTAGTAACACCGTCTTCCTAGTGGCCCCGGAAGTGAGTGGAATCATTGTCCCACTTTATGGAAGAGAAAGTTGAGGCTCTGTGCTGGCTGTGTGGACTCTCTTTCCAAAGGAGGCTTGCCCTTATTTCTGGAAACACTTGCTCCTGGCTAAGACCACAAGCCCAGAGACCAGCAGGGTACCACACGCCAGGACCAATTAATGGGACCGCAAACACAGAAGTCGTGTCACTCCAACTTGGGACAACTTTGAAAGGCCAACCTGAGTTGGGCTGAGGCCTTCATGGGACCATAGTATATCCTTTGAAGCTGTGCTCTTCAGAATGTCCTGGGCCCCCTGAGGTCTGAAGAGAAGGTTGCTAGCTGCAGAAGCCTGGGCTGTCGGGTAGTAAAAGGTCCCACGAGGCAGGGGCCAGTCCACCAGTGAGCCTGACACTGCGGGCAGGCTGTGGAGGAGCAGGAGCACCCACCTTGAAGACACAGGGAGGACTCAGGAACCAAGGCCATCATCCCTCCTCAGCAACAGCCAGAAGGGGAAGGGATCCAACTGCCACTTTCCTAGGGTCCACCCCTCTACCTCCCTCCACGTCGTGGGCCTCCACAGGCTAACTGACTGTGCTGCCATGAACATGAACCTTGGACCTATCCCAGATGACCCCATCCTGTCACTGTCCCCGCTGCTGGGAAAGTCCTCAAGCTGTTGCTCAAAGGCACAAACTGCTTGCATGGCCCACTGCTGCTCTACGTAAGCAGCTCTTCACAGCCCTGGGTCAGAGGAGGGCATCCAGTCCTGAGGGGCCCTGGAGCCCAGAGGCAGAGACCAGTGGAAAAGCCCAGAGAGGCTTTGCAAGTTGCTGCAGCTGCTCCAGAAAGCCTCCGAGGGTGCTCTGAGCCTTGGCTGCTGAGAAGCTGGCGGTGGCTGGGAGCTGGGGGCAAGTTTGACACCATGGGGCCTGGGATCTCACACGCTCAGGGCCTTGAGTCACTCATGGAGCTGTTCCTAATTGATTTCTGAACTAATGAAGCCCAAACACCCTCTGCTGACCGGTTACAGTAGGAGTCAGTGCCTTGTTCTGCCACAATGTTGAGCTCAGCAAGGGTGCTGGAGCCGCAAGGCAGGCAGGGGCCTCACCTTGGAACCTCACTCATTCCAAACCTCTCCCTCGCCTCTGTGCATGCTTGCCCTTGGATTCTGGCGCCACGCATTGCTTGAAATTTGTCTTTTTGGACAAAGCTTTGTTCCTGCTCCCTACATGCAGGTAAGTCCCACTGTCTAGGTCCCCAACCTTGGTGGGAGGCAAGGAGCTGCCAGTGAGGGAGTGAAACCAGACACCCTGGACTCCCAGTGTGGTGGCGCCCATAGGTGAAAGCCCCCTCCCCACACACACTGCAAAGCCTTCACAGTGGGTGCAGAACTGCCACAGCGGAGGTGCATGCAGTCATTCCGGTGCCCTCCTCCCCTCCTCCCCAGAACTTTCCACCTTCTACCAAATGCCGAGCCTGCACCCCACCCTCCTCACCCACTCACCCCTGGCCGTTTCCACACGAAGGGAACCTGGGGCCTCTCGCTGAAGAACAGGGAGGCATCACAGGCAGGGAAGTCTGGGTCCTCAAACAGGGTGCCAGCCTGCAGACAGCCCTGCCTCAACTGCTCAAAGCTCTGGCCTGAGGAGTGGGTAGTCCGGGCATCCTGGGGGACGGGGTGTGCCTGGGGCCCTGGAGCTGGGTACAGGTAAGGCATGGCTGCTCCCAGGGGCTGTTGGTGGTAGAGGGAAAGGAGGGGAAGAGGTAAGATGTATGTGCTGGTCAGAAGAGGTTCTCAGTGGCCCTGGCTGAGTGACCTCACCTCTACTTGTTTGCAGGGTGTGTCCCTGTTAGACTAAGAGGGGGCCTGCCCTGATGGCAAATAGGGAGAGTCCTCTGCCCGATTAGGGCTCTGGAGAGCTGGGGGCAGCTCTGGCAAATGACCAGGACTGGCAGAGGCAGCAACTCTGCTTAATGCACAGGGAGACACAGAGGGAGAAGATTGCAAGAAGGAAAGAGGGCAGAGGGAGAGAAGGATCACAGGAAGGAAAACAGGGTAAGAGATCAGACTGGCCTGGGAGGTGGCTGCAGTGCAGCATGGTCTGCAGTCATAGCCACCACATCAGAGACAGGCAGAGTTTTGCAGTGGGAAGGTGGATCGTGGTGGCACATCATAGGCATTCAGAGCTGGCGATCGCATTTGGAATTCTAGCAGGGGTGGGAACCTTTTCCTAACAGCCAGATGTAGACACCTAGTGGGCTGTGGGCTGCAGCTGGTTACCTCGGCTGTCACTGCAGCTATAGAAGCCGCATGGATAAAGACAAGGGCTAAGTCCCAGGCAAACCTTCTCTCCAGTGCAGGTGGGGCTGGCTTTTATGCAGTGTGACCCTGAGATAGAGAGCAAGCTCAGAGCACAAGACAACTCTTCTCCAGACCTCACTCTCACAATGTTCCTTTGCTCAGAAGTCCACAGCGGGATCTTGCATTGCCAGAGGATGTAAGCAGCCTGACAGCATTCTGCCATGTGGAGCTCCAGGGCTCCGCGCACTTCAGCATGATCTCAGTGAGTCTGTGACAGACACAGCCGGCTGTGGAGCTGGCCTGCGGTCAATGGGTTCAGATAAGCCTGACATAGATTTTGTGTAACTTCACAATTCCCAGCCGTGGTCACTTGCTCTAACACACTTCCTGTCTCAGGGATCCCACATACCATTTTCAGGGAAGGTATGGGCAGTGGGATTGGAGACACTGGTTAACTCTACTGTGGTATGAAAGCTCCTGTCCCCCTCAGAATTCATACTTTGAAATATCAGTCCCCAAGATCAGAGTATTAGGAAGTGGTGACTTTGGGAAGTGATTAGGTCATGAGGGTGCAGCCTCCTGGAATCAACCTTTCTCCTTTAAGTTTCAGGTGTTGGGTATTTTATATCCCAAGAATATAAAGAAGGAAGTACCTAAGACGTACTCTTGGCGTTGATTGCTTGATGAAGGCAACTGAAATGGATAGGAGACATCCACTGTATTCACGAAGATGCAGGCATTAAAAATCACAGTAGCGCAGGGGTAAGGGGAAAAAAATGAGAATCAAGACTTGTCATGTAGAGGTACAAGATCCCAACAATGAATGTAACTGTACTGTATCCCTAAAATGTACCAATAAACTCAATTAAAGCTGAAAAAAAATCACAGTTGCTTCATCATCTAGGCTTGGAACAGGATCCCTGGAACCTTCTGGGCTGAGGTGACAGGAAGGGAACAGTTCCAGACAGGGGCAGCTGGGATCTGCAGCGGGGGATGGCTCACCTTGAGGCCACGGCAGAGGGCAGGGTGGGAAGCAGAGCCCACGGAAGCCAGGGGGCCTGCGAGCTGTCCTTATATCAATCTCCCAGGGGTCGCCCAGGGAGAAGAGGGTGGCAGGAGGTCTTGAGGGACAACCATATGTGTAGCCCATGGTTCACAGGCTGGCAAGTCCTGCAAGTGGAGTTGGTTTGGGGTGCAGGAGGAGCAAGATCCCCACTGTGACTTTACAAACTTGTATGTCCAGCTTTTTAAAAAATACTTTACTCGTTTTCATAGTGATGGTAAAATTAAAATGCAAAAATACTAAGCATGACTTGGAAATCATGTAGTCTGAGACTCTGAGGAGAAGTTTTGAGCCCACTTGAGCTAACACTTGGGCTGGGGGAAGGAAGGAGAAACACAGTGCCCTCCAGTCAGGGTGGAAGAAGAACCTCAGCAAGTCCTGGGCCTGGTGCTGTGTGGAAGTGCTCCCCCAGGGGTGGCAGCAGCCCTGGAGCAGCTGCAGGAGAGGAAGCCCCAAGGACCCTTTCCTTCCACCATTCCGCTCCTGTCATTATGAGCAGGAGCAGCCAGCTGTGTTTACTGGAGACAAATCTGGTCCTTCAGCAGAAGTAGTCTTGACCTGAACACAGTGATCACATATTTATATATTTATAGTTGGCCCTCTGCATCCAAGGTTTCCAGCAATCCTGGATGGAAAATATTTACGGAAAAACTTTGTGCTAAATGTGTTCTCACGTTTTTCTTTAGAGCACAATGTAATGGCTACTTACATAGCATTTACATTTCATTAGGTATTATAAACAATCTAGGGATGATTTAAAGTCCACGGGAAGGGCTAAGGGTGTAGCTTAGTGGTAAAAATCTTGCCCAGCTTGTGCCAGGCCTTGGGATCGATCTCCATCACTAAGAAGCAGATAGACAGAAAAGAGACAGACATAAATCTATACTGGAGGTCATACGCAGGTTCCATGCAATACTGTGCCATTTTAAATAAGAGACTGGAGCATCCTTGGATTTGGGCTGGGGAAAGAATCCCCCGTTGACACCCAGGGAGTGTTCCTAAGTGTCCAGGGCTGTGGCATCCAATACCTGCACAATGCTTTGAAGTCGTCATCACCACTCATCTCCAGAACTTTTCCATGTTTCCCAACTGAAACTCTGCCAGGACACACACTAACTCTCCACTCCCTACCCAGCCCCTGGCAGCCCATCCTACTTTCTCTCCCTATGAACATGTCTACCCTAGCTATTTCCCTCAGCACAGTGTCCCCAAGGTTCATCCAAGGAGTCCTGTTGGTGTTTCCTTCCTCTTTGGCTGAGTAGTATACCCGTCTATGGATATAATGTTTCCCCCCTGTATCCACTGATCCATGTTTGAACTACGTCCGCCTTTGATCACTGTAAACTGAACAGAAGGGTTTATATCAAACAAATGCTGTCCAGGAACCCGGGATGAGAGGACTGTAAAAGAGAAACAGGAAACATGCGACCACACGAGGGAGCTGTGGAGAAGGGTCTTGAGCTTCTGTGCATTTGGGAGCAGGCCTTAACTGCCGAGGGGCCCAGTCCCTCAGCCTGAGCACGGGTGGTCGTCCCTGAGTGGCCTGTGATGTGATCTGAAGGTGGAAGGGAGCTCAGGGAGCGGTGATGCGAGGCCAGCCCAGGTGAAGCCCGGTCCTCACCATGCCCTGGTTTGCCTATCTGACCAGCCGTGGGAGCTGGTTTGTAAAAAATGCAAGATCCTGTGACTTCTCTTCATCTCAACTTCACTGCCAGGTTCTCTGGAGGGGATCCAGTCCCTTAAAAGCTTTCCGTAAGCAATGAAGACATTTTGGTGTGACTTAAAGAATGGTAGCAAATGAGACCGCCTTTGCGGTGTGGGTACGCGCAAGCAGATGGCTCAATGAGTAGATGGTTCTTGTAACCAAATGCTCTCCAGAGTCTCCCAGCGGCACAAGGAGCAGGATAGTTTTGTCTGCTGACGGTCATTATGGAGAAGCAGAGTGGTGTGCAGAATGTGGTGAGGTGGGTGGGGTCACTGCTCTGGGGTGTCCCGGAGTCTTCTCAGGATGAACGTGGGTGCGCGGAGCCACTGCACGAAGATACAGGGTCATGGGAATAGCAGCATCTTGCCCTGTGTAGGGCTGGGCTTCGGTGTCAGGGGACAGAAACGAGATCAGTGTGATAGAGGTCAGGGAGAAGGTGGCACCGTGTGGTGTGACAGCCGCACGCAGCCAAACCGGGCTTTCCTCAACTGTCAGGGGCGGCCCGTGGGAGGGTAGTCCTTGGAGGGAGCATGGAGCCACGGACACAGCACGCACTATGGTGGGATACACCACCAAATGAAGGGCAGGAGAGACGAGGACAGTGGGCCGGGGCCAGGTGCCCAGGTCAACAGTTAAGGGGCACTGTTAGGAGCAGAATGAAAGGCAGACTCTCCCAACCCACAAATGCTCACCGAAAGGTAGTGGAGAAGGGAATGCTCTAATTCTTGAGTGGACACCGAACCAGAACACAATGCATATCACAGGGGTCGGCTAGGAGTCTGTGGGGACAGGAAGGAACTGTGTCCACCATGCCGGGCAAGTCTGTGTGCTCTCCAGCAAGTTCATACAGCAACAGTCCAGGGCTTCCCCCGAGAGGGCTCAGCAATGCCACCGTCAGGCAGCTTGCGCCACCTCCACCCCATGTGCCAGCAGATCACCTCATCCCCAGAAAGGCGGACTCTACATCACATCAGGAGGCAGTTTTGCCACCTGAGTCAGGTGTGTACCTGAGGTCAGGCTTCTGCTCCTGGGAGGAAGGGGCTATGCCTACCTTTCCTAGAGAGGTTCCAGGTCCCCGAGAAGGACGTCCCTGGTCCTTTAGCTGGCAAAGTTCTCCCTAGTACTCAGAAAGATTTTAGACACATTTCATGGAAAGGAGATATAATACAATGGCCAACTTTCCAGGGTCAAAGCTCTGGGAAAAGCAGGGCATGGGGATCTCTTCCCCCATTTTCAACAGGGAGAATTAAGACTTAACTAATATTTGTCCTGGCAGCATACATGAGGGGTTGGTACTACTGGGGCTGGGGGAGGTGCTGGCAAGAGGCTTTTGGCCCACGAGGCTCCAGCTGAGTCCAGGAGGGAAGGAGTGGGGAGGCCAAAGGGCAGGGCAGGGGCGCTGGGCCTGGCAGTGCCTCAGGTTTAGGGCGAGTGGAGGAACTGGTGGGCTTTGCCTTTTCAATGCAATTAGCCTAGCTCTGCTGCCATCCACTGGGGGAGCCATCTCGGAAGTAACAGAGCTTATAGAAATAACAGTGGCTTAGGTGAGCAGACTGGGCACCAGACTGTAGTTTGGGACTTCCTTCCTCCCTTTCTGCTTCCTCCCTTCCTTTCTTCCTTTATGATTCTTTTTTATTGTGGCAAAATATACATAATGAAATGTGATATTTTAATGATTTTAAGTGCGCAGTTCAATGACAATAAAGTACATTCACAATGTTGCATAATCATCACTATTATCCATTTCCAGAACTTTTTCATCATCCCAAACAGAAACTCTGTACTTATTAAACATTAACTCCCCATTTTCCTCCCCTCCTACCTCCTGGTAACCTGTACTCTAGTTCTGTCTATGAACGTGACTATTCCAGACACCTCACATATGTAGAATTATGCAGTATTTGTGCTTTTATGATGGTTTGTTTCACTTAGTTCCTGTCCTCATGACACAGCATGTGTCAGAATCACCTTCCTTTTCTGTGCTGAATAATAGCCATCATGTAGATAGATCATCTATGTAGACCACATGTTGTGCTTTGATGTACAGTTGTTATAGAAAACAGTCTGGAATTTCCTCAAAAAATTGAAAATACAACTGTCTGACCCAAGTCTACACCTGGGTACTTAGCCAAAGGGAATGAAAGGATATGTTGAGAAGGCATCTATACTCTTAGGTTTGTGGCAGCACTATTCACAATATCTGATATATGGAACCAACCTAGGTGTCCATCAGCAGATGAATAGAGAGGGAAAGTGTGGTATATATACTCACAGGAATATTTTTCTGTTGGAGACTCCTGTAGTCAGGCTCCAGTCCCCACCTGTTCAGTGTGCAGGGCAGGCCTGAGAAAAGAATACACTGAGACAGAAGTAAGAGAAAGAAAGCAGAGTGCCAGGGCGACCAATGCCGGTGCAACGGACAGTCCCAGGCACTGACTTTTATTGGCAATCGACTGGGGCAAAAATGTGGTTTCTATGGAAATCAATGTAAACAAGACTCATAAAGGACAAGACAAAGCATTCTCAAACTAGGAACAAAATAGACAAAATATATGACCATAATTAGAACATGGTCCTGGTCTGAAAGTTTTAGTTGTGGGAACAGAATTTGGGTGCGAGTTACTCTGACCACAGCACATAGGCTTTGACCAGACTCACTTCTATAAACAAGCCAATTGTGGGGTTAACTCTTCATGGCCTACTTTGGGCATAATCAATATTACAGTCCTCTGCATCTCTCCCTTCTCTGTTTGAAAACAACAGGTACATCAGGTCTGGTGATCTTTGCAGGTCCCAGAGCTGTAGCAGGTGAGGGGAGTCACTCAGATGCAGTCTTTGCATGGCTCTCAGCCAGGGCATTATATCATGCTGCTTACAGTGAATCTATCATCTTGGTCCATGGTGGTGCATTCTGGGATGATGGTCACAGCATCTTTTTATTTTCTGTTGAAAAAATAAGCATACCCTGGTCCCTATATTATTAATTATATTGAGCCATTTACCTTTTAGTACAGACTTGGACAACGCTAGTGTCTAGGTCATGTCTGTAGGTCTATTTTTGTGAATATTTATATTCCATAAGTGGATCTAAAAAATTAAAAGTGAAAGTAACAAGATTAATCAAGCTTGTGGAGGCAGCTGTACCTGCCCCCCCTTTCTGTTGATGTAATTGTGTCTTTAGGGAAAAGTGAGTATATCCAACAATGGCTTGGTCCCATAAGTTATCCAGTGGACCTGTGTCACAAGGACTTATAATGCGTCTAACTGACTTAGCCGTCTATAATAATTTTTTATTTTTTAAAACATTTATTTATTTTGTACTGGGGATTGAACTCGGAACCTTGCACTTGTGAGGCTGGAAGTAGAACCACTGAGCTAAATCCCTGGTCCTATAATAATTTTTTATAAACAGCATCTCCAACTGTGGTTAGGGAAGAAAGGTCATAGTTTCAATCGAACTGCTTTGAGCTGAGAAGGGTCAATGTAGGGAAGATTGCAGTTAGGTGCTCTCTTTAGGGAGTTAATTTACTAGGCCTTAAATAAAAATCCTGTTGTAATCTATATAAGTCAATCTGGTGGATTTTGGTGAAACATCTAGCACACTTGTTGAACTGTTTTTAAAGGACTTAAATAGTGATTGTAACCTGCTGGCTCTTAGACCCTTTTACTAATGGAAGCTATACATAAGTCTGATATTTGTCATAATTTTTAACTATAAAAAGATTAAAAATTTAATAATTAAAAAAACAGTTTTAGCTAAAAAATTTTAAAACTCTTGTTGAGGTCTATAAATTTTACCATAAGTTTTTTTTATTGACACATAATAGGGGTGAACCACTAGTGTAGTTGGAAACTGTCAATAGGGTTCAGAAATTAGAACTCCTTCTTATATCCAGCTTTATTACTATGGTATTGACTTTATATATCTTTGGATTATACTTTCCTACTGGGTGTTTAAGACCAAGTTAAGGTGAGACCTATATTAATTAAAATTAACCTCTCACTGTCTATCGAGGTCAATTAGGTCTCCACAGGCATTACTTTGAAACTTATACGGAGTCTCTCAGCTCCTGTCAGTGTCAGCAATCGGGATGTGTCATGGCCTTGCTTGACCATGTTGCTTTCTGTGAAAGCATGAGAGATTTTCCCCTACAAGTGACACTCCTTTGGCACACTTTTGACTTTTATCTTTTTGGTGTCCAACAATCTCTCTGTTTAGGAGGTTGAGTGATTTATCAAAGTTACAGGATCATGTAGCAAAGGTTCTTTCATGTCCTGGGTTGTTTGTAGACCTTGAAGGGACAGGAGCAGGGCCAAAAATATTGGTTATCTTCTTAGCCCAGTTACCTTTCCGGTTCTGGTCTCTAAACTTCAGTTGTTGAACACCCAGAAGAAAAGATCAATAACGTTAGCACTGTGATGGGAATAGAACTCATTATTATATAATTATAATTTTATCTGGATATCAAGCAACTTAAAATATAAAATATAGTTAGACTTATTTTTTAGTCAATCATGGTTGTTCTAATAGCTGAATTCCTGTAAAATGTTAACAGAAAAAAAACTTCAACTTGAGTCACACATAATATTTTAGCATGACAATTATATTATCTTTGTAACACACCTAAATGTCTACTCATTCTCCTCCAAAAACACAAAAATTTCTCATTTAAATCATTATCCTTTGATAGGATGCCATCTAATGAAAATACATCAGCCTATAAATGTACCTGTTATCATAAGTAGCTGGAGTGTAAGAGAGACCCAAACACTTGAATCAAAAGAAAGTTATTACCATAAACAATATATTAGAAACCCTGTACAGCCATAAAGCATGGATTCATTTAGTACACCACAAAATTAACAATAATAACTATCATAATTATATGTATGAAACCTTATGCCCTTTACTTTGATACCAAAAGCATCTTTTCAATAAAATCTTGTTTTTTCCCCCACAGAAAATTTAATCTTTGTAAGTGTAAATATATCTAGAACTTAACCCTTTGATGACAACCAATGTAAACATATTACAATAACATATTTAAGTAATATTTATTGATGTAAGTCTCTTTATGCCTGTAAATGCAAGCCTTCTATAACAAACTTGAAACCAACAAGCAAACGTACATATTTCCTTGATAAATCAATTCCACACACCTTCTCAACATACCCAGGCCTTCTGGTCTTGTATATCTCTCTTTATCCTTCTAACAAGACAAACATATACAATCTTTTCATATCAAAAGTATCTCTTCTACTTATAGCTTTCTTAATATTTTTCCTCCACCATCTCACTTACTATAAACCTTCTATAACAAACTTGTCTTGCTGTTAAAATTATTTAAGTAATATTTATTGATGTAAGTCTCTTTATGCCTGTAAATGCAAGCCTTCTATAACAAACTTGAAACCAACAAGCAAACGTACATATTTCCTTGATAAATCAATTCCACACACCTTCTCAACATACCCAGGCCTTCTGGTCTTGTATATCTCTCTTTATCCTTCTAACAAGACAAACATATACAATCTTTTCATATCAAAAGTATCTCTTCTACTTATAGCTTTCTTAATATTTTTCCTCCACCATCTCACTTACTATAAACCTTCTATAACAAACTTGTCTTCAGCTGTTAAAATTTTAAAGTGTCCCTTTTTTATCTTCTGTTCTCAGATTGTTACACTTTAAAATTTGACTGTCAGTAGAACAGTACTAACCTTGAGTTCTTCATTAACAAAGTACGGAAAAGAGCAAGTTAACCCTGTAATCACAATTCAAGAATTTTCAATGCACAAGAAATTTTTCAAGCATACCAATTAAACATCAACTCAAATTGAAAACAAAATACATTTATCAAATAGTTAAAATTTGTAACTTGATTTCTCTTGTAAAATCTCTTGATATCTGCTAGAGAGCAGTTGTAGTTTCTCTGGCTTTATTTTAAATTCCAGACCTTAGCAGCCAACCTTAGGCTGATAACACAGCACTGGTCTTTGGGCCCGTAAAGCCTGGAGTGTTTTCTCTCTGTTTTGCTTTATGCTTTTCAGAGCTTTCCTAGCTGTTTTCAATCCATCAAAGATTTATTTTCTCAGTTTAGTTCTTTCCAAGCTGAGTGCAGGCCCTCCTCGACCCTCTCTGAGTCTGACCAGTGCGCTAAAGCCAAGCAATTCTCCTCATGCTTTTGCCCCCTCCTCCTTCGCACCTGTGATCTTAGCAACTCAAGTGTAGGGGGAGGCAGCTCGACTCCCTCCGGAGGGGAAGCTCTGGAGTTTACCTGTAACGATGTCACATTTTCTGAGAGAGTCTGCTGTGTGAAAGACAGCAGATTTGGCAAGCAGCGGTTCTAAAACCAAACGAAACAGTTCTTACTAGCAGCTGATTGCGGTGGAGCAGAAGCTTGAGCGGCTCCCAGGCTGGGTTGTTAAGACCCCAAAACAGAGCTCACAAGGCTCCAAGTAGTCAAAGTCTCAGTTAAAGTCTCAAGGGAGATAACTTCTCTTCTTTGTTGAGTTGTCTGGAAGTTATTTTTGACATGCTCCCTGAGTTCCACATCTCAAGTTCTTTTTTGTGAAAATGATGATTATATTTAACTATCTTTTGCATCACTTATTTCTACACTGTGGGCCAACTTTGGCCGAAAGTGATTACCCCATGTTTTAGTCCCAGCTGACTATATTTACTACCTTCTTTCATCTGAAACACATACCTCCTTTTTTCTGGGATTCTGTGCTTGTCCTTGACCTTGATGCCAGAAATACTGCGTTGTTGACTGTTTTCTTTCTTTTTCTTTTTTTCTTTTCATTCTGAGTAGCTTCACTGAGCAGTTTCGAGCCCCCACGATAGGCACCAATTGTCAGAGACTCCTGTAGTCAGGTTCCAGTCCCCACCTGCCCAGTGTGTGATGCAGGCCTGAGAAAAAGAGTACACTAAGAGACAGAACTAAGAGAGAGAAAGCAGGGTGCCAGGGTGGCCAAGGCAGGTGCAACTGACAAAGGCACTGGACAGCCGCAGGCACTGATTTTTATTGGCAATCAATTGGGGTAAAGGCAACATGTGGTTTCTATGGAAATTAATGTAAACAAAGCTCAAAAGGACAAGACAAAGCATTCTCAAATTAGGAACAAAATAGATAAAATATGTGATCATAATTAGAACAATGTCCTTCAGTCTGAAGGTTTTAGTTGTGGGAATGGAATTTGGATGTGAGTTACTCTGACCTCGGCATGTAGGCTTTGACCAGACTCACTTCTATAAACAAGTCAATTGTGGGGTTAACTCTTCATGACCTGCTTTGGGCATCATCTATATTACAGTCCTCTACATTTTTCGGACACGAAAAAGAAGAAAAGTTTATCATTTGTGCAGACATGAGCTTGGAGGGCATCATGTTAAATGACAGAAAGCAGGTACAGAATCCAAACATATTCTTATGCTAATGATTTCAACGCCCAGACCAA